ACTTACTGGTCCCTACTAAAGGGTCCTTCTACCCTTTATGTATGGCCTTTCATGCCCTGCTGGTGATGCAGCTACCAACCACAGCAAATGTAAACAGGTGACTTCCAGAAGGGGTCACCTTGCTTGCAGTCTGGAAGAGAATGTGATCTGCCTCCTCACCTTCCCACCATTCAAGTCTGAGAGATAGATGAATAACTGGTAAAATGCACTGGCAGCTATTAATACTAACGGAGCAGTCTGAAGATCAAAATGAAGGGAAGTTACCTGCTGCCTACATACACCCTCCAGACCTCAGATCAAACTCTCCAGAATCTCGCTTCTATCAAACAAAAAACTAAGGATACATTTTCACAATCCTTTCTAGATGTGGCTCTTCTACAGCCACATTCACTAATGGAAATTAGAATTACATCTCATAAATAGGAATTACTGAAGAAAAAAGAAAAATAACCCTGATTATGTGAGCAAAATGAAAGTGTACAGCATAACAATTATTTCTTGATGCTGAGGAGTAGACTTGCCCAGATAGAATTGTGTGTATGCTTTTTGGCTTCTGCAAGCACATCACAGTCACAAGATAAAAATACACATGTGTTTCCACTCACTTCCTACCTTTTCTTGTATTCTGAAAACCACTACATACTTTGTTCTCATCTTTAAGGTTTTTGATTCTGACAATTATAACAGACCTCAAATACACCTATAAAAAGCTTAAAATGTTTACTGCTCAACTTTGGAAATTTCATTAAGTTGCTTAACACAGACTTTAGCTTCACTGTTGGTATTTTCCCTAATCTTTGACTTCTGCCCAAATTTATTACTACAGGGAAAAGGTTTCGTCCTCTGTAGAGGAAACAAACCCTGACACAAACAAATTTGTTTTTCAACAGGAGAATAAATTCACTGTTGCTTGCTACAACTTGCAAAAGAGGCTTTTCCAATGTGTTACTGCAAACAATCATTCCTGATTACAAAAGGCAGAATTAAAATGTTAACAAGATGAGAAAGGGCTACAGCCGAGTGGTAGAGCACGCACTTTGCATATATATCGTCTCAGGTTCAACTCCCAGCATCTCCATTTAAAGGATCATAGGCAACAGGTAGAGGGAAAGATCATTCTCTCCTTAAGACCAGTGTTCCCTCTAAGCTGAGTTAGTGTGAGCTAGCTCACAGTTTTTTAGCATCCAGCTCACACATTTTTGTCTTAGCTCAGGAAGGATGGCTCCAGAGCAAACTAATTTATGCAGTAGCCAAATCACTTGCTCACAACTTTAATGTCAGTAGCTCACCAAGTAGAATTTTTGCTCACAAGACTCCACAGCTTAGAGGAGACATTGCTTAAGACCCCTGGAAAGCTGAACTTAGACTAGCAGCCTGACACATTCACTTACTTCTCATCTCTTATTCAAAGTATTTGAGAGCAGGGAAATTTACCAATCCACAGTAAGTGCTAGTTTCTAATATCTACTAATAAAAATGGCACTCAGGCAGAAAGGGAAAAAAAGACCAGGGTTCCTACTAAAGTCAGATGACTATCATATCTGATTTATGCTCGCCCGCAGAGACTGATGGATCATATTGGTTTCCAGAATGCTCTGTGGGAGCTGATGCCCTCTGGCAACTTGTTAGATGTGCTGGCAGAGGACTGACATGACTGACTCTCTGAAGCCATTGACAAAATCGCTCCCTGTCGCCCCCTCCACTCCCATACCAGCCTACAGCCTTGGTACACCGAGGAGCTACATAGGATGAAACAAAAGCTGAGATGGCTAGAGCAAGGGTGGCGGCGGACTCGTGATGAAGTTGCAAGAGCATCTTATAGGACATTTATGAAAGCCTATGAGGTGGCAGTGAAAGCTGCAAAGAAGTTCTATGTGACTTCCACTGCGTCTGCAAGCTCTCGCCCAGCTCAATTGTTCAGTGTGATTCGGTCACTTACATCCCTCTTGCAGGGAATCCAAATGGTTACGAATTTGGCTATTAGCTGTGAGGCTTTTGAAAGCTATTTTATAGATAAAATCTTGTCGCTTAGCCAGGACCTGCCAACCGCTGTTGATACAGTAAGGGAACTGGGGGGCCCTTGGCCATCTTCAGGTTGAGTAGTGGACCGTTTCAGCTGACTCTCCCAGGACAAGGTTGACACGACCCTACATGCTGTGAAGCCCACCACTTGCCTCTTGGACCCGTGTCTGTAATGGCTAGTGAAAGTTGGCAGTGAGGGAATACAGGGCCCCCTGGCGGATATAATCAATCTGTCCCTGCGACTTTCCCAGGGACTCTGAAAGAGGCAGTGGTGAGACCACTTTTGAAAAAACCATCTCTGAACCCTACGGGTCCAGCCAACTACCGCCCAGCCTTGAATCTTCCATTTCTGGGTAAGGTAGTTGAAAGAGTGGTAGCTGAACAGCTCTAGGCTTTCCTGGAAGATTCCTCTATCTTGGATCCATTCCAGTCCAGCTTCTGCCCTGACCATGGGATGACAATGGCACTGGTTGCCCTCACAGATGAACTTCGTGGACATCTGAATCGAGGTGGGTCAGCACTGCTAGTATTATTAGAACTAACAGCAGTGTTCAACACAGTCGACTATGATCTTATGACCCACCGCCTCGCTGACGTGGGGATACATGGGACAGCCTTACAATGGCTGGTCTTACTTCTCCATGGTCAGAGACAGAGGGTGGCGCTTGGGGAGAGGGGCGATCCTCTCCCCTATGTTATTTAAAACCTACATGCAGCCCCTCACACAGATAGTCTGAAGTTTTGGGCTGGGTTGTCACTAGTATGCTGATGACACCCAGCTGTATCTGATGGTGGACGGACAGACAGACAGGCGCCCCAAATACTCTGACCAGGGGTTTGGAAGCCATGGCTGCATGGTTAAAACAGAACCAAGGAGATCCTGCACCTGGTCCATGGGGAAATGGGGCCAGGGATCCTGCTCCCAACTCTTGACAGAGCATTACTAACACCTATGCTAACAGTAAAGAGTTTGGATGTAACTTTGAATGCCTCACTTTCAATGGTGGCCCAAGTCACAGCAACTGCCAGATCTGCATTTTTCTATCTGCGGCAGGTCAGGCAACTGGTCCCCTACCTCTCCCCTCACGACTTAGCCACAGTGATCCATGCAACAGTCACCTCCAGACTGGATTACCGTAACTCACTTTATGCACGGCTACCCTTGAGGCTGATCTAGAAATGGCAGCTGGTCCAGAATGCAGCTGCACGTGTCCTTACGGGGACACTACTGAGAGCCCATGTACACCTGGTGCTACACCAGCTGCACTGGCTCCCAGATGAATTCCAGATCAAGTTCAAGTTTCTGGCTCTAACATTTAAAGCCCTATGCGGACTGGGACCAACATACCTGCAGGACCGTCTCTCCCAATATATCCCCCGAAGGGTTTTGTGCTCCTCTGACCAACACCTACTGATGATCCCCAGCCCACAAGATGTATGCTTAGCCTTAACCAGAGCCTTCTCGGCTCTGGCATTGGCCTAGTGGAACACTCTCCCTAGTGAGATCTGGGCCCTACGGGCTTTAATCCAGTTCTGCAGGGCCTGTAAAACAGAGACGTTCCATCAGGCCTATGGTTGAGGCGGAGTTAATCTATCCACAATGGCTTCCCTGCTCTGCCTAAGCTGCTTGCTTAGTTGATCATAGCTGTTCTCCTCACCCACTCACTTACCTGTCTTGTTCCACCTGTGGCCACACAGAGTCTAAACTGTGTAGCTGATACCACTAAATGTTTATGCATTAGCATTGTTAAACAGATTTTTAAGGATTGCATTATATTTTAACTTTTGTATGTTTTAAGTGTGTTGTAGCCCATACTGAGCCTGCTATGCAGGGGAGGGAGGACTAGAAATTGAATAAAATAAATCAAAAATAAAATAAATATTTATAAGCACTAATTGTGCTACTTTAATGGCCACTTATTCTTTGTGAAAGGGCTACTAGGACATCAGCCTTGACTAACAGAAATCTGACTGTATGCCTCATTAAAAACAGCTGCATGCTTATTTATTTAAAGTACAATCATTAATTATTATTAATCCCTGATTGAGCATAATCAGATCCCCTTTTATCCTGAAGAATTTCTTCCCTGAAGTAATTAATTGTAATTAAGACCTGTTAACAATATAATTTAATATCTCAGCTTTTGTTTTCCAAATCCAAAATATTCACAACTCATCACCAGAGTTTGATGGGAATTTTGTAAACTCTGGTGTGAAACGGACCATGTCCAGCACTAATTTTGATGCAGACAAATTTCCAAAAAGGATAGGGAAGAAAGAGTGAAAGAGAGGAGGCAGAACTGCAAGGAGAGAAGAATGAGTCTCCATAGGGTACTCTTGATATCTCATATCACAAGTAAATCGGAAAAATTACACACTAGGCATTACGCTTATTTCATCAGAATTTCATGGTTTACGGTTAGAAATGTAGTAAATAACGGTATCAATGACGACAACAACAAAAGCAATTAGCAGCAGCAGCAAAACAAAAAGATACCCCAACCAAGAAGATTACGCTTCACTGCTGCTTTTATAAGTAGTAAATGCATTAATAATAGAATCAATTATCAGGAATCATGCAGATCAACAGAACAAACATATCTTGTTGCTTCCAGGGCAGATTGATGACTTGGAGGGTGTTGCCCTGAGGAAAACAAACTGGTAAGGAAAAGGAAATTTGCCAGTGCAATCCTGGGTAAATCTGGAGATAGCTCTACACAGAGTTGCACTGTTATGAATCTTATCAATTGTCATCAGCTACTTGACAACATTGAAGAAAAGGATAACATTGACAGGTGCAACTAGGTAGTCTTGTGAGCTGGAGAAATGGGTCCTATTATAGAAGTTTAAATATGTCTGAGGGGGAGATGCTTTTCTCTTTGAGAATCAGGGAAAGGTTCCTTTTGATGGAAGACATCTGCATGACCCAACTCAGTAGGAGTTACATATAATTATTGTAGATAGCACAGTGTACTTACTTTTGTATTACAGTTTGTAAGCTCAGCATCATACCCAGTTCACTCTTCATCTTCTCTCTGTTTGCCCGACATTCAGCCAAATAGCGGAGAGCCTGTAATGTGCATATTACATTATGGTCATTTTCATTAGCCTATGAATTTCAAAAAAAAAAAATCAAAATACACCATAATTTTTGATAGTCTGAAAAAACAATGGTTAAAAATATGCTGTTTTAGCCTGCTTAGCTGTATCCAAAACCCATTTGATGCATGCTGCCAGGAAACTGACAGGCACCAATGTAGTGCTAAAATTATGTTCATAAGATTGCCCCATCCAAGAGCCTGTCAGAAAATATATGTTATACTAGCACATGTACAATAACCAATGCATGCACACCTCTATAGTCAGTTTCCAAGTATCCAAATATAAGCTAGGAAACTTCCAGTTCAAATCTTGATGCAGCTGTGAACTCATTAAGGTACCTTCGGCAAATTACCATCACACAGTGGTACCCCCACCCACCCCTAATGTGCAGGGTTGCTGCAAGAATTACTAAAATAATGAAATGCAAAGCCTAAATCTAAGTATTAGGCTATTAATAATAAATACAATTACTTCTGTATGCCAGAATATAAGAACACTGGCAAATAAGAGCTAGTGCGGTATACTGGTTATTGTACCAGGCTCAGTTCTGGGAAGCCCTGGTTTGAATTTGCACTCTGCCATAGAAGCTCACTGGAGGAACTGCGTCCAGTAGTTCAGCTTAACTCACTGCAGAGGCTTGTTGTTATGAAGAGAAAATGTAGGAAAGAATAATGTTGTGTGGCAATTTGGGAGATAAAAGCATGGTAAAATATCTAAATATAAAAACCAAAAACGTACAGTTTACAACTGAATCTCCTACAAATAGACTATCATGCTGGAGTAAGTAGAAAAACTTTCCAGCAATCTGACAGTTTTATAATTACCTTAATTCAGCACAGATTCTTAGTTGTGCTATTGTCCAAACTATTATTTTATTCATTTAGGCTTTGATCCTCCTTTTCTTCCAAGCTGGTCAGCATGCATGACTTTCCCATGACAACCCTGTGAGGCTGGTCAATGATGAGAGAGTGGGTGCGTGTGAGAGAGAGACTGGCAGGTCTAATACCACCCAGTGAGCGCCTTGCCAGTCTGGGATCTTAAACCAGGTCCCCTTGGTTCTAGTCCAAACACTGTCTATAGATTTGTGTGTTATCTTTGCACTTTTGCTGCTGAATAAGCATTTCTATGTATTTATATATTTTTGTGCTAATCAAAGTGGGCATTTTTGCATGATAAAAACCGTTCCTTAGAGAACAAGCATTAAAATATTCAGCAAATTGTTGCACTGCAGCATTTGAAAGATACTTTACAGAGATGCATTTAAATTAATATACCAAAGCACATTTCAACAGCCTGCGAAAGATCACTTAATATTTCAAATATTTCAGATTTCAAATTTCAAGGGTCCTTCAATAGCTGAGATGTAGAAATCATACCGAAACAACTGCAAGTTGAGGAAACAGATTATACTTACAAGCAGGGCTGAATGGACAACTGGAGGATTGGGGTGGTCCAAAAACAAAATAAGCCCTGGTAGACATCCCTGATCCTGGACAATTGCTCGTCTGTTTAAGGGGTCAGCAGCTAGATCCCTCAGCTGATTAACTACAGCCAGTGCATCAGGCTCCTCACTCATGCTGGGGTTCATTTTCCCTTGTCATGCATAAAATCCTGCTATAAAGGAAACTGCATTAATACCATCATACTATGAAAGAAGCCACATAAATGAAAACACGGAATGATTTGCTTTGAATTGCCCGTATCAGTTTTCAAGGTACAGTTTGTAGAGATATCTTTTTAAAAAATCATTTTTGGGGGGGGGGGGGCAACAATTAACTCATTCCATTCAGATCATCCTGTAAAACAAGTTTCCCAAAACACTAAAAAGCTAACTTACTCTGTTCAAAAACTCAACCAAAATCAATCAATACATTCATTTATGTATTTTTTTAAAAAGCTGTAACTATTATTTTTAAAAAAGGAGTACTAGCAGAGCCATTTTAATATATTAAAATCAGACACAGCAGCTATTCAATGTCACTAGAAACAAAGAGAGCAAGTTAAGAAAATGTACCATTCAGCTATCAGCAACCAAAACTCTGCAGCCACGTGCTCATTTCTGCTGAATATGCTGTCTACCAGATGCACAATTACAGCTACCCGGTAGCACAAGAGATACATATAGGCAGCTGGGGCCTTACACAAGGACTCCTTTCAGTTCTACCCAACAGCAGGCAGGAAAGGTAAGTAAGTAAAATGGCCACTGGAGTATGAGACAGCAGTTCTGTATAAAGTTTAAGTACTCCAGAACTGTTACAGCAACAGAATCAGGCTGCAGCTCAGCAATTTTATTAGACCTTAGCATCTCCAGCATTTAAAGAGCATAATGACGTTAGTCTCTTAACATCAGACAGCATCAGTAGGTACTTTTTAATTTTTCTGATTTAATCAGGTTTCTCCAAGTCTAACCACATTCTTAATTCCAAGACTGGAACTCAGCCCAGTATCCAATGAGCACAGTGGACAGCACTGGGTATTAAAGGTATCTGCACAGGGAATGAAGGTACCCAAGAAACGTACCACAAACTTCCTCCGATTCACTCTGAACAAAAATAATCTAAGAGGGAGCCTCCTAACATTTCTGAATTAACATCATTAATTGAGGTTTAATTAATACGAACTTAGACTCTTACCATCTGAGGTGCAGATTAACAAGTACCAGAACACAAAAGAAACCCACTAAGTATGACGTACATAGAACTTCCACGCTGGCTACAGGACAGGACACTGGTCGCTCTCATGGATGACCCTCAGAGACATATGGATTGAGGCAGGTCAGCGCTGCTGTTACTTGATCTAACAGCAGCAGCATTTGACATGGTCATCTATGACTGTATGACCCACCACCTCGCCAACACAGGGATTTGGGGGACTGCCTTGCAGTGGCTGGTCTCCTTTCTCCATGGTTGGGGACAGAGGGTGGTACTTGGGGAGAGAGCTTCCCCACATTACCCCTTGGTATGCGGTGTCCCTCAGGGGGTGATCCTCTCCCCGATGTTGTTTAACATCTACATGTGCCCCCTTGCCACTTGATATGAGGGCTTGGGCTAGGTTGTTACCAATATGCTGGTGACACCCAGCTGCATCTGTTGATGGACAGCCAGCCGGAATCTGCCCCAGATATTTTGGCCAGGGCTTTGGAAGCTATGGCTGGTTGGTTGCAGCAGAGCGATTGAAGTTAAATCCATCTAAGACGGAAATCCTGTGCCTGAGCCATGGCGGGGTGGGATCGGGATCCGACTCTCAACCCTTGGCGGGGGCGTTGTTAACACCAGTGCCGATGGTGAGGAGTCTTGGGGTGATCTTGGATGCCTCGCTCTCAGTGAAGGCACAAGTCACAACTGTTGCCAGATCGGCTTTTTATCATCTTCAGCTGGTCAGGCAACTGGTTCCCTATCTCTTCTACAATGACTTGGCCTCGGTGATCCATGCAACAGTCACTTCCAGGCTGGACTACTGCAACTCTCTGTATGCAGAGCTGCACTTGAATTTGACCCAGAAACTTCAGCTGGTGCAAGATGCTGCTGCACGTCTCCTGACTGGGAGACTGCACGTCTCCTGACTCCAGAGCTTCACCAGCTGTGTTGGCTTCCTGAATTATATTCAAGGTTGTGGTATTAACCTTTAAGGCTCTGTGCACTCTGGGACCAACATATCTGCAGGACCGCCTCTCCCAATATGTCCCCCGGAGAGCTTTAGGCTCATCAGAACAACATCTCCTGGTAATCCCCAGCCTAAAAGACATCCACTTAGCCTAGATCAGGGCCAGAGCTTTTTCTGCTCTAGCTCTGGCGGAATGCACTCCCAAGTGAGATCAGAGCCCTGCATGACTTAGTACAGTTCTGCAGGACCTGTAAAATGGAACTGTTCTGCCAGGCCTTTGGTTGAGACAGCGGGTATCTACTTACTGCGGCCTTCCCTGCCCCATTCCACCTCTATGCTACTTATTATACCAACTTGTGTCACAGGTGGCTGGTATTTGCCCACTGTTTAATATGTTAGCCCTCCCGGGCACATGTATAGCATGCACCTAGGGATTTCTTAAATTATTAATTTGCCATCTTGTATTATACTTACCTGGGTTTTATAGATTCTAACTGCCATTATTTGGAAATTGCGTTAAATGTTTTATTTATGGTTGTAACCCACCCTGAGCCCGCTTGCAGGGCAGGACAGAAACTGCATAAAATTTAAAAAGCAGCAGTGTCTGGAGCCTAGTACTTCACACTTGATGGACAGCACACAAATTATGTATAGAAATATACAAAAATACTGAGAGTGGGCCTTTTAAATGTTAATATATGAAAAGAATCTGAAAAGCCCTTTCCGGGAAGCTAAAGGATTATGCATGCACTGGTCAGAATTTTTGGCTTTCCCCCCCTTTGAACAGTACACTGCTGCAGGGGTCCCTAACACGGTGCCCGTGAGCACCATGATGCCCCCGAAGACACCTTTGCTGGCGCCCACCAAGTGTTTTTAGAAAACGGGTGGGGCCAGGTAGGGCTTTTGCCAAGCAAGGCTTCTGACTGGCCATTGGAGGTTTGATTGGCTGTGCAGATTTTCTGAAGCATTGCTTGGGCAGCTGCTGCCACCATGGCACAAGTATCTTCACTGTGTGACTGAAAGCAAGTTGCAGCCGTCATTTTGTGGTTGGTGGTACCTCCTTTGGCAGCCATTTTGTGACTATGCCCATCATGCTGTATCAGAACTTCAAAGGTGCCCATAGGCTCAAAAAGGGTGGGGCACCCCGGACTACTGTGCCATATCACATACTGGTTTTCACTTTCCACAGTCCCTTTCATTACTGCCTTGCAAGCAGTTCAAGAAAAGGGTCTAAAGTTCCCTTGGGAAAGATGATATAGGCACCTGATCCACTGGAAAGAACTTCACACAACTTTTGTGTCAGTTTTTGTCAGATGGAACATTAAGATTAAAGAACTTGTAATGCCTTTCTACATGGGCTTTGTTTATGGATCAGCCTGGCATAAATACTAGGAAGGCAAAGTTCTTGGACTGCTGTATGCTGGCATACACATAAAAGTGAAAACAAAAATCATCACTTAATTAGAACAGCTATTAGACTGCTTCTCAAAGAATCTGGGGTTCTATGGAAACTTACTAGGGGTTCCCCACTAACACATTCAGCAAATGCAGTCAGAAAGTCCTACCCAGACAGCTTGCCTAAGAGTAATGAGTTGTCGTTACATAGCCACATGGACACTATTGGGTGTGTTGCAGAGTGCATTCTCAAGCCATGTAGGACAACAACAAGAACCAAGAGAACCAATGATCAGATTCTATGATAATCAATAGTGCATACTAGAACATGGTCTAGTAACACATGTTAATAATCTCAGGACTCTTGGTCATCCCTGACTGGAAAATAGTATTAGTCAACTAGGCATGTCCTATTTACTAATATTTCAAAAGTCTTCTCTTCTGGGATTCCATCACTCTTTCAAAAAGTGAGGATAAGTGAATACTACTTTATCTGTAAATTCTGGTCATCTACTCCCATGAAACTAATTTCAAAGGAGGCAGGTTAGGATCAACCCTAAAATACAGTTAAGCATTTCTCTTGAAGCCAATGCATCATACATTACAGTACTATGTAGAATTATGCCCTTCTGCTTTGCTGGACTTAACTCTCCTTAGGATTGCACAAATGCCAATAAAAACACTTGGCGTGTATGCACTTTACATATTTAAAACTACATATCTATAGCCACTCATCCTGTGTAAAGCAAGCAAAGGACAATTTGTTCATTATTATAACTGTACACATTCCACATAAACAGATATGCAATTTCAGCTCTTTGCATTTATGTGGCACATTTCAGTGCTCAAAGGGCCTACATCTGACAATCCCATGAAACTACTTGGAAGCGCTACCTATTTAATACTGCACAGAACTGCAAAGTATCACAGCTGAATCACATTTCCTTTGTCCTTAAAAAAAAACCACTCTATCATGTTATTTTGATTGTATACAATCACCAAATATGAGAAGTTGTGGCAACTATTTCTTCTTAAAATGAAGAAATTATTGCCCAGTCTTTCCTATGCATTTTTACCTCAACAGAATAGTGAACTGAGTTAGACTTACGCCTAATTAACAGTACAGTAGTGAGCAGAGTTAATCCAGTCTAAAATCATTGAAACCAGTGGACTTAGACTGGAGTAATTCCACATACAGTTCCATTGTAAGTCTGCATGAGACTGCAGCTTAAAAAAAATAATAAACCCAATTCATCACCCTTCATTAAAGCAATACAAAACCCACTAAGACTTCAACTCAAGCACTCTTGCTTGAGAGTTAGTCCCCTGATTATAGCGGGACTTACTACTCAGTAAACATACACAGGATTAGGCTGTAAAGTCCCACTGAACTCCCAGAGACTTGTTTCCAAATAAACATACATAGAACTGGCCTGCACGCCTAGGAACCCTTACCTGGGAGTAGGCTCCAATGAACACAGTAGGGCTTACATTTGAGTAGTCACACAGTACCAGGCTATAAGTTTCAGGAAAATACCGTTCCTGAAAAGGACATACTAAGAGAGCGACGGCGATTTAAACTCAGGGGTCGGGATGGAGACCGCTTTCTGCTTACCAGCCTCTCTTACCCCTCAGCCTGACCCCAATCACCTTAGCTGCTTCTCTGTACTGCACCGTCCCATCCCCTGCTCCAGTGATCCCCGTTACCCGCCCTCACTTTCATAGGAAAGCACAGAAGGGGAGGCGCTCTGCTCACGCCCCAGCAGAGAAAGAGCCGTCGAAATCACGTATTCGCTGCCTTCACGCAAAAGGAGCCAGTTCAGGAAATGCGCTTTGCAAAAAGGTCGTCCAAATCAGAACCTTCGCCCACAGGAGGCTACATTCACTCAGCAAGGTGGACACTCACTGATCCTTGGCCCCTCCGTATTCCTCCGGACTCCGATTGGTTGCAACGAAGAGCGTTTCTCTCCATTCAAGGCTCACCTTGTTACACTATCCCCTGATTGGCCGAGCACTGTGATCTGACGATCAGAAGCATTGTGGGCCACAGTCGACTAGGGCTTAAAGAACTACAAATCCCAGGAATAAAGAACTACAAATCCCAGTTTCCTGTATTAAGGTAGAATATTGCGCGATGGGACGTGTAGTCATTGTCCGGTTACAACACAGACATAAGAAACGATCGATTCAGGTGGGTAGTCGTGTTCATCTGAAGCAATAGAATAAAGTTTGTATCTGAAGAAGTGTGCATGCACACGAAAGCTTATGCCCAGAATTAAACTTTTTTTGGTCTTAAAGGTGCCTCTGGACTCAACTTCGTTCTATAAGAAACCACATAGAGCGGCAGAGAGAGGTGAGGTGCCTCATGCACTAGGGTTGCCAGTTCTTACGAGACGGCATTGAGTTAATACTTAACAGAATTTGAAGTCCATTCTGCCCAGAGTGGACTAGGATGGCATATCCACCCTGGAAAAGGTGTTCTAGTACCCTCACCACCTCCAGACATGCCTGCGAGGTCGCCAGGGATGAAGTGCCACTACATGTCAGAAGCACTTGTCCCTGACAACCTGCTCTGAAGCAGCAGCTTCAGTATCCAGGAGAGGATGAGCCACTGCCAGAGGTACCACAGCAAACCATGCACAGAGATCCTGCTTTCGCTATGATACCTGCCTACCTCTATCTCTGGCAACTGCAGCTCATCCTCACCTGCTGACCACCCTTGCACCAGCTGGCAGACCTAAGCAGTGGCAGCATCATAGGGAACCATAAGAACATAAGAGAAGCCATGGTGGATCAGGCCAGTGGCCCATCCAGTCCACCCCTCTGTGTCACACTGTGGCCAAAACCCAGGTGCCATCATGCGGTCCACCAGTGGGGCCAGAACTCCAGAAGCCCTCGCACTGTTGCCCCCAAGAACGAATAATACAGAGTATCACTGCCCCAGACATAGTGTTCCATCTATACCTTACAGCTAACAGCCACTGATGGACCTCTGATCCATATATTTATCTAATCCCCTCTTGAAACTGTCTATACTTGTAGCCGCCATCACTTCTTGCAGCAGTGAATCACACGTGTTGATTACTCTTTGAGTGAAGAAGTACTGCCTTTTATCTGTTCTAAGCCTACTGCTCATTAATTTCATTGAGTGCCATGAGTTCTTGTATTGTGAGAAAGGGAGAAAAGTAATTCTTTCTCTACCTTCTCTGTCCCATGCAGACCTCTATCATGTCACCCCTGGTGAGCCATGGTGCTCAGCTCTGATGCAGGTGGTCCACGGCCTAGGCCACCTAGGGAGAGCAAACCTGGGCACAATAACTCTTTGGCCTTCCCTGCACCTCCGGCAGCTTCAGTTCCTGCTTCTCCTCACCTTCCTGGCCCCATCACCACCATCACTATCAATTTTTCCAGTGACTCTAATGTCCAGTCTTCCAGATTGTCTCACCTCATTCTCCTGTATGTGTGAACCGAGCCCAGGACATATGTATATACTGACTGCTAGATAAAACCTTGCAAAGCTACTTTCTTTGTCTTCCATGGTATTTGCTGAACCTTTGTCAACTAGAACCTGGGAAAAGACTGTGCATCTGTATGGTCTCTCCCCTCCCCCCCAGGTAAGGCTACCTGATTTTGCTTCTCTTGACTCTTTTTCTTGTTCTTTCTTGAATTAACTCCAGCAGGGTATTGTAAGGACTAGGTTGTTTTCCACAGATCTCAGCAGATGGAATACACATGTCCCCAAAAGGCTAGTGTCAGGTTGCACCATTGATATTCTAGGAGGGAGAAGCAAAAATAGAAGCATCCCATTGAAAACACAAAGGCCAGCAGCTGATTGAATGCTTCTTCCTCCAACCTGGTACCAGCACCAGTTTAAATCAATTCAGACTGTCTCATAAAATGCTTACAAGATAATGGCTTCAATTTTTTGATTTTTTCTTTTTCCCCCCCCCCCCCCCCATTTTATGTTTTAAACAGGTACCGGGTACATTGTACAACAGGCTACTAGATCCTAAACAGATTGTTACGATAATATCACTTCGTCTAGTACTGCTGCAGTGAATACAGACGGGCACAAAACGAACCGAGGAAAGAAATGCAATTCAAGAGTTACTGAAGGGTTATTATCAAAGGGGCCGCTCTGACAGAAGGCGCCCTAGAACAACACTTCCTCTTTCCCGGTACCCTTCAAACTTTCTCTCTCTCTCTCTCTATGGCTTGGACGGGAAGAGAGAGATCCTATCCCACCTAACAGGTTTATTTCTTAACTCTATGGTCCGCTTAGTTTCCGTCATCAAGGGAGGGTAACCCCCGCCTCCCGGAAGATAGGGGCGGATTGGCCAAGGTTGCGCCCGGTGCAATTTAGCGATTGGCTGTTCAGTCAGTGGAACGCGGAGAGGCGATGAGCGAGGAAACGAGGTGAGCGGCTAGAACTTGGCGGCTGTTGCGGCCATTGACGAAAGAGCGGTGCCGGCGGGGCAAAGGGGTGAGTCCAAGCGGCGAGGCTTTCTTTTTCTATCACGGGTCTCGTCCTGTCGGCAAAGCCACTCGAAGGCACTTGAGGTGTGTCTGTAGCCGGGGAGGGGGGAAAGGAGTTGTTGGCTTCCCCGCCTCGGGGACATGGGCTCGGGTGCGGCGGCTGAGGGCCCTGCGTGACCCGACAGCTTAATTTCTCTTCCTCCCGCCTGTTCAGCTCCATTGTTTCTTGGGAGGATGTGGGCTTTGCCCTCAACAGGCCTTTAGAATATGTAATAAAGGGAGTATGAAACCCCAGAGTTAAGAAAAGAAACTGAACAGCTGGCGCTAAAGACCGTTGTCCAGGTCGTGCCTCGGAACGGTCTGCATGATCTACGTATTATTTGCCTAATGTAGTCTTCTGTGGAGGATTACCAAGTCTTTTAAAAAATCACCTTTTTTCCCTGTCTATATCTGATTTCATTGGATACAGAAGGGTAACTTTGCTTAAGATTGGACTGTTAGGAATCTAACTTTTAGTGCGTATGAACTATATACTTGATTCTTTTCCTAAGGAAAGCTATAAGCATATCTCAGTAAAGACTTTTAGAAACATAAACGGGGCTCGATGTTTATATGAGATATTTATATTTAAAGTATTTGTAAAATATGTATTTAAAATGATTGTGTTTCCCTGAAGAGCTTAGCGTGGCTCACAGATAATGGCATCAGAACTACAGTGAAAATACCAAATGACCCCATAATGAGGCAGGAAGACATAAAGGAATAAAGAAAACATAGTTAAATGGGCTCATTTCCAGATGGGCCACTTCTCAAGTTGCTGTTTAGCAGTTGTAATGTGAAAGGTCAACACTTTCTATTATGTGCTGTTTCCCTCTGTGTTGTGTGAGTGGCTTCTTCCTTTGGCTTTAAGCAATAGCTGTCCTTGAGAGGTTTAATTTACAACAATCTATTCTTCTGTCCCCTGCTCTGCCTGCATCTCATGTTGGGTCCTAATAGGCAAAGTTGTGGACTTACCATCCTGCTAGCACTTTGGAACCAGCCTGGTGTAGGTCAGTGGAGGTGGCTGTAAATAAACAAAGGGTAGGGACAAAGTCTTGGGCCTGGTGATTTTTCATTATTTGGAGTTAGTATTACCATGGTTAGATTGCCTGTGCATTAAAACACACACACACACACACCTCCTGACGGCCCCATCCACTTCCCTCCCTTTCTATTTCCCTTTACTGACTGAGTGGCCTTAGTAATGTGTTTTCTTCTTTGCTGAAGAACTCTGGCTGTCTCACCCTGTCACAGTATGATATTTTGGCTGTTGGTTCAGCCCAGGAACCCGAGGGAAGAATCAGGAGACCCCTTTAACTTAATTAATTTATTTATTACTTAGACTTTTACCCCACCCTCCCCGCCGAGGCAGGCTCAGGGTGGCTTAAACAACTTAAATGACACTTGAGATGTTTTGAAATTAAAAAATAACAAAATATTTTATTTAACATAGAGGGGAAAGGTCAGGTGAAATCAGGGGTTGAAATTTCTGAGTTAAAATCAGTACATGCACACAGACTTTAGTTCTTATGTTTCAGGCTAATGAGAGTTTCTTAAAAGCTATTCACAGTTCCAGTGTTTTCCCCAAACACTTCAGTACACTTTCTTTGAGTATTCGCTGACTTTTGGTTTCCAGAAGGCTGGTACACTCTTTCCAGTACCCAAACCCCTTCTCTTGAAACACCAGTACTCGTCTTGAGTTTTTAACTGACTTTTAAGGTCTCCAAAGGCAGTTTCTTAACCACACCAGATGAGGGATCTCTGCACTCTTCAGAGTTAACTCCCTGTTTGAATGGGTAGGGAAATTCTCCTCTCACCAGAAGATCTATTCCCCCTTCCTTGGTCTGAATGGTAGTCTTTGCCTAACTTCCCAAACATTCTTGCCAACTTTCCCCCAGTTCTCCAGCTGTGTAAAACTACTCTTAGCTAAAGCTGAAATCAGATTCAACTCAGTCAAGGCAGAAATCTGACTCTCTTCTCAGCATGCAATCTCAAGTCTTTCTCTGCTCAGCTGATGCTAACTAATCAGGTTGCTTGGAGCAGCCTGTCACTCAAGGCTCTCTGTTTCTGTGAAGAATTAACTCTTCACAATCCTTCAGCTGTTTGTATAGCATTCTAAGCTTTCAAAAAGTGCATCACAACCACCACCACCCCCAACACCTACATCTGCGTAACTCTAGCTAGCTTTGTTTTTAATATTGATGTTGTTAATGTTAATGTTTCAAGATAGATTCAGGTGGGTAGCCGTGTTGGTCTGAAGCAATAGAACCAAGTTTGAGTCCAGTGGCATCTTTAAGACCAACAACAAAGCTTGATTCTAGGTATAAGTTTTGTGTGCTTACATGAAAGCTTATATTCAGAGTTAAATGTTGTTGGTCTTAAAGATGCCAGTGGACTCAAACTTGGGTCTGTTGCTTCAGACCAACATGGCTACCCACCTGAATCTGTCTTGAAAGGTCACAGTAACTCACAATAGTTTTTTTACCTGTATGGACACTTTTGAAATAATAGTTCTGGTTGCTTAGGTATTTTTTCCCAAAGCTTTCTGTGTTGCTTTATGTTCAAGCATGTTATATTGAAGATAATAGTGCTCCTCCCATAGGTAATATAGAGTTTTGTTAACTTTACTTAACTTTTGCATAGGTATAAAAGTGCAATTTGCTGTCTTCTGGGGTTGCATTTCCATTTTGATAATACTTACTGGGATGTATGTGAAAAGAGATGAGAAATAATTCTATGTGATCATGGAGGCTAGCATGCTCTATCAAAGTTTCTGTATTGTAGGCATCACTAAACCTTTATTTGTACAATGGTATGTTGTGGCAACTTTCTGTTGTGCCATATTACTGTGTTATGTTTCATTTATATGCATATAAGGACTATTTAAAAGCCTCTTTTACTAGCTAGCACTTACAGAAAATGTGAATATTATATTGCCTCAGAATGTACCTATATCTGTTTTCAGCTGTCTGCAGCTTAAAACAAGGCTTGCAAAGAATAGATGTCAAGTTCAAGAGAACAGAGAAACTGTTTTCAGAATTTGTACTGCTGAATTACAACTGTTTGAGTGTTAAGTAAAATTCACATGTGAAGAAGTTAGAAGAAGAAGAGATTGGATTTATACCCCGCCCTTCACTACCCGAAGGTGTCTCAGAGCGGCTTACAAGCTCCTTTCCCTTCCCCTCCCCACAACAGACACCCTGTGAGGTAGGTGGGGCTGAGAGAGTTCTTGACAGAAACTGCTCTTTTTCCAAGAACAGCTCTTATCAGAACTATGGCTTGCCCAAGGTCATCCAGCAGCTGTGAGTGGAGGAGTGGGGAATCAAACCCGGTTCTCCCAGATTAGAGTCCACACACTTAACCACTACACCAAACTGGCTCTAGACTAGCCACATTTTATTGACCTCAAAGGTAAGTGTATAACTTTGAGGTTGCTTATAATCTTCAGGATATGGTATAATGGAGAATGGCATCACAACAGCAGAATCACTCATTACCCTATGATTTTGTGGTCTCTTAAACATTACATCCATTGCTACTTGTTATAAAATACTTCAAATCTAGATGCTGCCCAAAAGTTGAACAAATAAATCTGTGGGCATGGTGTTCCTTACTGTCCAGCAGGACAAGAGGGCAATAAAAAAGTCAGCTGCAGAAGGAAGGGAGGCTTTTGAAATCCAGGCTGTGTTTGTCAGGCTCTATATGTAAAGGATTTTAAGGTTCTACTGTTATAGCAGACCTTTGTATTTTGAGGTATGTGGACTTAAGTTTCTATTACAGTATTGGTGTGACATATTCTCTCACACAGTGTTGGTTTTACTATTAATGCACTCAGTTTTCTCATGCAGCAAATTCTAAGTAGCAGCATCAGATCACATGGCTTTTGGAACTGAATTGTGTGTGTTCTGTTTTATTGACCTAATCATGGTACTTCTAATTTGCAAAATGCATTTCAATCACTATTCTTATTTGACACAAACCCTGCAAAATAAGTTGCTGTAAATGACTCATAATGAGAACTTGGCTCAGATGAGACAGAGTGTGAACAAAAGCCCAGGTCCATGTTTAACCATTATGAGTAGGGAAATACTTTGGATTCTGAGAAGATGACAGTCTGTCCAGGGCTACTGTATTCAGTATCTAGTTTTGAAATTCCTGGGTGATCAGCCTCTGGAGAGTAGAGTGTGTGCTCATGCACACATGAATGCTAAGTTGTCTCTATTACATTATCTGCTAAAGCTACTTCTATTACGAAAGTAAAGTTGGGGCTTCAAACTGTACCTTTTGAGCCTCTATGACTACAAATCTGAGTTTCCAAGAGCTATTTCTTCCCCCAGCCCTGCTTTATCTTTTGTCCCTCCTTCCCTGCTACCATTTTCCCTGCAATGCAGTCCCATTAATTCGCCTAGGCTACAGAGCACTTGAGAAGCAGAGGTGGGCAGGTAGGTGGGAGGAAGCAAATTGGTCTGAAGGGAAGGAGAAGTTGCTTTAGTTGAAGCCCAAGAGAACTATAACACTTGCAAAATTCCTTTGAGTTTCTCCCCCTCCCTTCCATCCACACAAAATGTGAGCACGGAATACTGTGTTGCAGTGTTTTGTATAAGCTTGGGGATGAGATGCTATGTTCTTTGCCTAGCCAAGGAAGAGTTTGTATCTGGAAAGAGGCAGCATCTCTCATGGAAATATCCAAAAACCATCTTGGTTTCTAACAAATGGCAGCCTAGAAATGCTTATCATGAACTATTCCTCCTGAACTGACAAAACTTAATAGTCCCACCAGCATCCCAGAAATGCCATTCAGGGGAAGTCCTAACGGCTGTGGAACTGATATCACCTGTGCCAACTTTCCACTTGAAAATATTATTACCTAGCAATTGTACACGGTTGAACTTGAAGGACTGATGCTGTGCTAATTAAAGCGATTCTTGCTAAAATTCTGCAAAATGTCTTCAAGTCCCTTAATGAGTCATTTTTTCCTGCATAGTTCCTTGCCATTTTATTTAATTTTTCCATTATGCAGTCAAGAATTTTGACTGGCTTCCAAAAGAATCATAACATCATTTATGCAACCAAGTTAGTGTTGTTCACCTTATGATACATTGTGTCATAAGAAAGAGGGGGACTAAATTGTCAGTAGTAGATATTTTGTATTTTAGTCCTGATATACCCATTTTTGTGAGATAAGATTTCAAACGTTTTATCTCACAAAAAATTGTTTTCTTGAATAATTTTTTGTACAGTGCCTAAAATATGTGAGATGCTTGATTAATATATTTGCACTTATCATACTACTTAATGGAATATGGGGACCTTAAAGTCTACTATTCTTTGGAACACAGTTTTAGAGTAGATCTCTTCATTATGTTTTCCTGGGTCTCTTAAGACATGGGCTATTCTGCAGCAACCAGCAAGTTGCCCGTAGCTAATTAGCAATCTGTTGTAAAACCCTGCTTTAGAAATATTAGTACTTGGTCATCTTGTATCCTTTATCACTGTTTCTTGACAGTTTATAATTGTATGGAACAATGATCTTGTGAAAGCAAAATTACTAAATACTATGTGACTCTGAGCTTTTGAAGAGTGTACATACTTAATAGATTTTTAGGCTGTGTTCCTGTTTTGTGTATTTGCACTCTTTATTTTTCTAACTCTCTGCTTTGAAAAAGTGATGCAGCTATGAAGTTAAATGCCAGTTGATAGGTTTTTAATGAACTTAAGATAAGTTTACAATCAATAACTACTGGTAGTATGTTTGTAGTGAAGGTTCTGAAGTCATAGGTGTTTGGGGTGTATGCTTAAAGATAATTCCTTTTTATTTTAGAGGTTTTATGTGCATATACATTTTTTACACTTTTTCCCTTAGAGATACTATGGAACACCAGCATCCTGGCACACTGAGACGGTTGGGTTACAAGTTTGTGAAGGCTCCACATTATTCCAGATGATCTACTGGATTAAACGCCTGATTAGAATGATGTGTGAACAAGTTGGGCTGAATATGGAATCTGTAAGTATTTCAATTATAGTGATGTTTTGTTGCAAAAGTTGGAAGTGTTATCAACTTGCACAGCATAGGCATATTTGGCAAACACTGGGTGGGCTCCAACCAGCTTTGGTACTACTGAAAAGGGAAGAAGAGGTTGCCTTGACCACCAGAACAGCCATTCTGAGAATCATGGGATCCACAGGTACAAAAGGCGTGAGTGGTTGAAGCTGTAGTAGTGAAATTCACTGAAAAAACTGTCTGGATCCAAACCATTATGCCTCAGTCCTAATGAAATAAATAGAGTTGAAACATAATGTTCAGCACTTCAATACCATCAAAATGTGAGTAACTTAAGCCTGGCTAATAGTTTCAGTATTGAGCCTGATAATGTGGTTCTGATTGGGATATTGTGTCACACAGCATGTTAAGTTTTGATTTTCTGTCTTCACTATGAATTCTAATGTGTTCCTTCTTGTCCTTGTCGAAACAGGATAGGATTCTCTTTGCACAAAGGCTTAATATAGCTGCACTATAAAACTTCAAGAAGCAAGCTAATTTCATAATATTGAACAGATTGTGTCATACCGTTATAAAACCTCTCTTTTTTTTTCTCCAGTTGCTATGGTCAAATAAACCTTATGGTCCCTCTAGAAGTATTGTAAGGAAAATTGGCACCAACCTCTCTGTGATACAGTGCCCAAGAGTTCAGTTTCAGGTAAAATTTCTCTTAATAATCTTTATTTTGATTTGAGCAAAACTGCAATGAAGAAAGGTTATACTGCTTGGGGCTCTTTAGCTTGGAGAAACGATGACTGAGGGGTGACATGATAAAGGTTTACAAGATTATGCATGGGATAGAGCAGGTAGAGAAAGAAGTACTTTTCTCGCTTTCTCACAATACAAGAACTCATGGGCACTCAATGAAATTGCTGAGCAGTTGGGTTAGAACAGATTAAAGGAAGTACTTCTTCACCCAAAGAGTGATTAACACATAAAATTCACTGCCACAGGAGGTGGCGGTGGCTAAAAGCATGAATGGCTTCAAGAGGGAATTGGATAAACATATGGAGCAGACATCCATCGGTGGCTATTAGCCACAAGGTATAGATAGAAACTCTCGGTCTGGAATAAGTGATGCTCTGTATTCTTGGTGCTGGGGGGGGCAACAGTGGGAGGGCTACTAGGGTCCTGGCCCCACTGGTGGACCTCCTGATGGCACCTGGGCCACTGTGTGACAGTGTTGGACTGGTTGGGCCATTAGCCTGATCCAGCATTGGCTTTTCTTATGTTCTTATTGTTCTTATGAGTCAATTGAGTATATAGGTTTAGCATCCATGATGTCAAAGCCTATACCAAATACCTTGCAGTACTAAAATCTTAGCTGCCAGAATTACTTTTTTGCTTTCATCACTGTTGTGACATTTCAGTAGTCTGTTTTGTGAGCTGCCTGCTAGCCAAATAGACACATTTGAATCCCCTACTACTTTCTTGCAAGCTGCTTTTAAATCTGTTATTTCTTAAAAATTTTCTATGTTTTGATAAGGTTCCTAAATACATTCTCAATAAATACTTACTCAGTGAGAGAGTACCAACTAGAAATTTAGGAGAGGATGATATCTTTAAGCATTTGCCCTCTAAGTGCATATGAGCTCATTCATTCAGTAAGGAACCTTTTGACATGCTATTTGTTTTAAAGAAATTTGTTTATTTCAGACAGTTATAGATACACTTCCTCTCTGCAGCGGTGTGCCGCAGGTGGTTCACAATACATTAAAATAACAAATAATAAAAAATAATTCTCTAAGCAACCATCTTAAAATCAAATTTAAAAACTAAACAAAACCACTAAAGCAACAGCAGCAACAAAAACAGCACTTTTAAATACAGATACAGAAAAAGATAACGAATATGGAGCAATTTCAATCAAATATGACTGGCAATGAAGAGCTGGTCTTGGTCACTAGTAGGGGTATGCAATCTTTTTTCAACCAGTATTTTTCAGTTCGATTTCTGAAAAATCCCAGATCCCAGTACCACTATTGTATTTGGATCTGAGGTTTTTTTCCAGAAATACTGAGTTTTTTCAGGTCCAATAGACCTGAGAATAAAACGGGAAAAAAAAAAACCCGGGGGGGGGGGGGGATGGAGTAGTGGCAAAGCCACAAAAAACAAGTGATAGGTGGAGCAGACTGCTTCACCGTCAGCTGTTTTTTGGGCTGTCTACTATGTTCCCTTTAAACACAGGGGGCTTAAAGGGATTGCAGAAGACAGCCCAAAAAACAGCTGACTTGTGGAGAGCAATCTCCACGGGTTCAGCTGAGTTTCGAGTTGGCTTCCCCTGCAGCCTCTTTTAAACCAGGCTGCACAATAAGCCAGCCCAAAGCTGACCCAGGGGGGAGCACTCCGCTTCGCGCTGGCTCAGCTGATCTTTGAGCTGGTTTCTGCAGTCCCTTTAAATTTTAAAGGGACTGCAATAGTAAGCCCAACAAACAGCTGAGAGGCAAGAACAATGTGCTCCAGCCTTTCAGAAGTTTTTGGGATCTACCCTGAATATATCCAGACATTTTTTGAGAATGCTTTTTTTTTTTTTTTGGTTTCCCCCCCCCCCCCAAATTGGATATCTTTGGGATGCCAAAATATACCTGGAAAATACTGATACAGTATTTTTTAGGTATATTTTCGGCTCGGCTAGATCCAGATGCACACTCCTCATTACTAGATGGCAATATGAGGAATGAACAAAAACATCCAAACATAGTGTCCGCAGTACCTATCCTAGCCAACCTATACTTTGATATGCCATAGCTGATGAAACTCGGTGCCTCCCTGTAGTGTTCCTGGTGAAAGGGCAAATGTATCAGGGCAACCAAAGCAGATTCTGTTTCTAACATTGGCCTGAAACCCAACTGAAATGCGTATAGATAGAAAGCGAAGTATCACTTGACTATCTGTGTACTTTGGACAATATTGGTGCTTCTCTTTCTACCAAAACAAATATCAGAAATTTTTATGTTAACTTCTAAGAGGAATGTTGCTGTAGCTGACTGCCTCTTAAAACACAAGAAGCTAGCTCTGAACTTGGGAAATTATCTTTGAAACAGGCTTCCATCAGCGGTGCCCCAAGTGACTTTTGTGACAGTTTCTAGGCTTTGACATATGGACTGAGGGGCAATTAGAGGTTTTCCTCTTCAGTTCTTACATTTCATACCCATGTTCCTACTCATATTATTGCTAGAAAGCTTTAGAAAAGGAAACTGGTATTGGCTTGAGAGGGTATAGATATTAGCCAAAAACCCCACACATTATGGATATGTAGCACAAATACTGGGTGCTTGGAGGAGAGACTTCAGAATGGCATTTGCTGGACAATGTATCTTTAAAAAAATTTCAAATCTGTGTTAGGAATAATTGAAATGTAAATATGTGCTGTTGTATACATCTTTTATATTCTATGTAAATGTTAAGCTAGAGCTGTATATTTTTACTTCTTACGTGGAAAAATAGAAAGGGATGTAGACGGTGTAATAACATGCTATTATTTACAATTTAAGTGAAAATCCAAGGTAGATCCAGATGGAGACACTTCTTTGAAAGTGGAGAAGCAAGCCTTGGATGACACTAGCCTCCTCCCCCCACTTTGGTTTTTGAATATACTTGTTCTTGAGCTTCATTTCTGACAGCAGTCCCACAAATTTTAAATAGAACTTATACATCGTAATGCAGTGCGTGCAGCTCTGAAGTGAATGTTTGATGGTATATACAATTAAACTCTTCAAATTTGAAAGTGCGAGGGAGGAAATCTTTCTGGGAAGAATGCATTAGTCATGAATCCTACTTTTCTATTGTGTTTATGACAGTAGCACTTTACTGAAATCTTGTGGGATGTAACAATTTTTTGGGGGGGAAATGCCTTCAGGAATAAAGCCATAATTCTAAACTTGATTTATAGAGAATAATTTGAACATGATGTGCTAAGTTATTAATTTTGTTGCATTGCGTTCTACCCTTTTTCTGAGGTGGGTATCTTCCCTCTACCCGCTGGCTCTCCTCTATTCCTGTTTCAAAGGGTTGTGTCTATTTCTGACTGGACAAGGGGGAAGGAGAAGTACAGGAAGTGCTCCCATCTCTTCCATTTTCATATGGGTTTCCTTACTGGCAGGCCTTCACAAATACACTTTCTAGGAATAGATGCCCCTGGCCCTCTCATGAGTCAGGGGTGCCCTACAGCACGTGCCCACATGTCAGGCTTTTAGTACAAGGACCTTGGATGAGGTCTCTTACTTTGCACTCAGTACTGGAATAAGCAGAAGCTTTTGTCACTTTGGACCAGCTCAGTGGGTTCAAAGCCTTTCCTTGGCAGAGGAGGCGTGGGGTGTAGTTATCTCTGTGGCATTTGCTTTTGAGCAAGCAGCACCAGCTTGAGAGCCTCACCTCAGCCTGTTCAGAGGCCACAGAGAGAACCATCCCCTCTGACATGCACGGAAGTTTTTAAGACAGGAAATGGTTGGCAGTGAGCACAAATAATATCTAGCTGTTGAGTCCTAATTTGTGGATGTCTGATCATTAGCAGGGCTCTGCAGCTATTTCCATTAAAGGTGGAAAGCGGTGGCACAGAGGATTTATCCTCTGGTTACAGTAATATCTGAACTGAACTGAACTGCTGTCAGTTCTAGCCCGTGCTGGTGTGAGCTACCAGCCTTGTCCCCAGTGGTTCGAAAGCTTCGGTGAGTAGATAAAATGGGTACCACTTTTTAGAGAGGGTGGGCACACTAAACCCCCCTGGTGGGCGGAGGTGTTAGCCGGCGAAATGGAATGTCCAGCTCGGAAGCCTGGAAAGATCTCCTTGGCATCAAGAAGCCTGCGATGGGCCGATCCAGCCAGGTGCTGGCAGTGCGGCGCTGCGACATGAAGCAGTCCTGGAAAAAGCTGACGTCATCAAGCCAAGCCGAGTGAATGCCGTCTGGAACACGTCTAAGCCTACAGCTGAACAAAATCCCCGTCGGCTGCAAACATGTGCGACTTAAAAGATGTATATGTTGTCCTCCTTTACCCCTATGAATCATTGTTAGTCCCGTGTGAATATGTGTAACTGTAAATCGCTCAGAGCCAGCAGCTCTGCAGGATTGAGCGATTAATAAATTGAAAGATATGATGATGATGATGATGATGATGATCTCTTGACAGTCATAAATGGGCAGTGTAGTTCCCAGATAGAACCTTCTCTGTTCTTCCTGCCCTAAACTCTTCGGTGATAGTGTTGAACTGCACAATGACTTGAAGTACCATGTTGTAGCACATTTTCATGCTTTAAACTTTTCATCAGACTCAGACGTGCATGAGTTCTGGATTGTTG